TAGATACCCTGTTGTGTAGGAGAGGGGGATCATATAGTTTGCGATGTCTTGTTTGTGTAAACAATGATCCCAACAATACCATTGTAAGAGTGCTTGACCTTTGATCTACGAACTTAGTTTTCTTCAGTTTCTTTGCGTATGAACTAGATTTCATATCGGGGAAAACACCCTTTTCGACAACAAACGTGCATTTAAAATGCGCTAGACGTTAGCGCGTGCATGTCGCATGCTTCAGAAGATACGCCATGTTGAAAATCTGAACGTAAAAGCAAGAGGCGCGTTTGACAAGGTACATTTCGATGCCTACCGAGTATCTTTGATGTTGTAGAGCGGACCTCGGCGAACTGTGGAAGTAGCTCACTGCGTGTTCTTCAGGCGTGGAATGTGAAGAAATCAATCTTTCCCTACATCTGGTTTTAGTCTTTGGTAAATCAGACACACACATCACTATTGGAGAACTATAAAAAAATTCGAATACGATTAAGATATTATGTCATTAATGATGTATTTTGTCTGTTTCCCGTGCGTACTATTACTAGTATAAGTTTTTTTTTCACTTTGAACGTTTTTTATCACGTGAGATAAAAAATAAATTTCTCATTTAGGAAATTATGATTGATGTTTAAAGCACATGTGTATGATGTCCCGTTACATATCCCAGGGTAGGCCTAATTTGTGACATACCGAGTGAGTGATTGGTTTATCATCCTCCGCGCACACCCAGCAGGTGCGGCAAAACAAAGCGCGCTTTATCACACAAGTCGTCAGAAATAGTTTGTGGTTGGTCTAGAATGTACACGTCTATATATCGGATGGCAGATCAATGCTTCTATTTCGATATACAATTTCACGAGATTCCAGATTGTCTGCCTCACAAACAAGAAGGATGTGAGTTGTATACTTCTGTCTCAGAAAACGGTGGAATGCCTAAACATTCTCGTGTCACCACTGAAGTCTGACGAACAACCTAAGTAGATATATACCCGACCCCTCGACCTGTTAGGACGTAAGTCAAATTGACGTTTATACTTCTCTTATCACACTGTTTAAAAACTGACATAACTTCATCGACTCGATATGATTTGACATGCGCATGACACATCAACGTTTCCATTATACACAAGATATAAAAAAAAACCCACCGCTTGTCCATTTAGAAAGTAGGATCAAAAATCACTTTCATAACGATATGTTCGTAATAATTTGTTTATTATTTTGACTCCATTTATTACATAACATGATATTACAAGATAGCTAATTTATAGTTCCTTGAGACGTTTGGGGAAATTAACATGACAAATTGGATCTGTCGCTCCAATTTATTCTCTATAAGTTCTTTCCTGGATTTAACGCTCTCCTTTCTGCGGTGTCCCATCAGGTTATGATTTATTTTCGACATAAGTAACTCCCGTTAACTCTTTGTCAGAATTGAGTGAATGAATGGAGTTAGATATTGCTGTTCAGTTTATGAAATTTAATTGAGTGTGAGACTTTAAACTAACAGTTTAAAGGCCAGATCATCAACAAAAGCAGTCGTCATATATAACTCCAACAAGCAAAATATACACCCCTAGCCAGAGCAAATAATAAAACATGTAAATTGCAACCAGATCAAACTATGTCAATCGGTAGTAACCAATTCCTTATAATGTGTTGAATTATCAAGATACATTCAGATGAGTTGATGATAGTCACGAGTGACAAGGTGAGTGCAGCCAATCAACGGTCACGAACAGAGAACCTGAACTCAAGTACTTTCAGTATGTATTAGTCTATTAGTAAGTAACACTTACGAAAGAAATGTGGTTCTCTTTCATTGACATGTCTAAACGTAATGCATTGCCGAAGAGACGTATCATTTGAAGCGCTGAGTGAAAAAGTATGATTTAAAAGCCACTGTATTTCATACTGGCCGGACAATTGTAAAATAGCGTGAATTCCTTATGTCTATAGTTTAGCTGTATCACGGTATTTCAACAAAGCAATCATACTGTATGTGTTAACTCAACAATATAACGGCCCTTGACTGATGTCAACTAGTGATTTTCCAACGTTCACTGCTTAAAGTATGTGACAATATATGACGTCACACGCACAGGAAGTCAAATCCCGTGGAACTCATAGTGCTGTGGCAAGTACACATATAAACAGATTGGGGATATGTTGACGTAAAGAAACAACGTACTGGTAACAAATAATAGCGCAAAGAGAGAAACATGTTTTCACTTAGTTGGCAAGCGAAGAACTCAATGTATTTTTAACGACGCCTTTTCTGTCCCTGGCAGATGCACGACTTCCCATCTGCTTTCCTTTTGTTCAACACAGTCATTACTACATATACAAAGGAGGATTTCGAATACATGGGCCAATATATCACAAAGGGTTATTACTACTCCATGTTTAACTCGACTACTCCATGTTTAGCCTTCCCGCCACATTCCATGTCGCGTGTCATTACCAGATTCTGTGTATATACGGCACAACCCTCAAATCTAGGTCGAACGAATGCTTGAAACGAACTTGTCAGAAAGCAATCGATTTTTGAAGACTTTTTTCGCCATATCACACTTTGTCCATTTCAATTGTCTTTAGAGAAGAGCAATTTTCCTTCTCGTCTGCTCAATTAGGCTTCCAAACACACCGTTAGAATGATCTATCCCCGAAACTCTTGTCACTTCGAGGACGGGATCTCATAGCACTCCATCTCCGCCGATAATGTGTACCATTAAGGAGGAGCTTTGGGTCGACGTTACGTAACAGGCAGTGACACAGTACGGGGAGTGTTTCGTACCACATCAGACTTTGATCTCAAAATGAGGACGTTTTATACACTCACCAGCGGAACACTCTTCAACGCGCATTATGTCAATAGCATTGAGTGCTCGGGCTTTCGTTTTAACCCGTCTTTACAGTAAAGCAGAAAACGAGAATTACTGATTTTGTGTCTGAAGCCATCCATCAAGGATGCAGACTCCTAATACCTAGTAACAGAGAGCAGGTGCGAACGAGTCGGTCTGTAGTGGTATGTGATATCATTATAAAGACATGTAGGGTATTGCTCGACTAGCGCGGCTGTTACATGGTAGTATTAGAGACGTACTGGAGGCGCGAGATATCGAACATCTGAGAGCTGAGCACTTAATGTAACGAGTGTGTGCCATTGATGATAATACGGTATCCAGCTCTCCAACAAAAGTCCCATATTAGTGTAAGGAGGCCGGCTATACCTCAGTATCGACAGTATTATTGCTGGAGATTAAGGATATCTGGGTATCATGTAATAATGCTATTTACGTTTAATTCCACCCTCTTTAGATTTCATAAGCTGATATGTTTGCTCTTAAGTTACAATTGTAGGTTAATGTCATGTAACCTTTGATATTTTATGTTCACAACAGGGAAAATACCGCATCATTTTACACTCATTAAAATAAATATTACCCAGGATAACATGCAAAAATATCAAAGAAATATGAGAAGATTTCATACAAATAAAGAAAGAGCAATGGACAAAAAAGTCTTTTATAAACTCTGCTTTGGCGGATTTCTTCATTATCATGATACTCGACGTTTAATTTGTAAATATCACTACCATTTAATATTTCTTAATGTGAAGTTATATTTCGTTTATTTAGCAGCATTGTTTGTAAAGTCCACGCCAATGGCCATGATGAAATATAACGAAGATGAAATTTTAAGAATAAAAAATAACAATATGCAATCATAATTATTTATTTACTTGTATTATATCAGGATTTCCGTGATATGCTTCGATGGCTGAAAAACACAACGGAAGGTTTTTAAAGATTCGGGTTGATGAAGACTATATGTAAGTTTTATGGGCGTCATCGTGAAATCGTTGGGAATTTCCTTATGGCGGTGTTAAAGGTCGGTAATGTTTTTATCATGTTCATTTGTGTGCCTTATATCACTCGGTTATCACTTTGAAGACCAGAATTTGACTTATATTTACATGGTGGGTGTTGTCGATGAAGCAAAATACGCTTACCCTTCCAGAACACCTGGTCTTATTCTCCTTATACTTTTACAATGTATCCATGCATTTTTTCTTCCTCTGTTCTCATTCGGTTTTGAGTTTGAACTTTATTTTTGTTAACAATTCTGTACATTTTGTTGTTGTTTTTGTGTTTTTGCTTATCATTATAGCAATTCGTGATATTCAACGGGAACATGTGGTAATTGTAAACCATGTTCCCTAATATAACAACACTGTGACCTTTAACCTTCTGCCATTGTAAACCTGATTAAACATTCTTTCCTACAGGAAAACAGCAAGTATATCGTGGTAATTTTCATTAACTTCACGAGCAGGCATTTATGGGGGAATGACTCGTAATAAATATAATTATTACATCGTCAGACTCTCGTCAGTATACTGTACCTCACAACCCCGTCACTCGCCTGTCAGTGTGTAGGATCTCAGACAGCTCACAGTCCAACAGACATATACCATAACATCTATATAACGGTATCTAGGGCAATACTTTGTGATATAATAATAAATTCTGGTCTAATTGATGGTAAGAACCTGCCACACCTAGGTCGATATTACCAGAAGATTATTGTCATGACAGCAATAAATGAGTTACAATGTACAACAGTTATGATAGCAGTTGCCTTAGGGATGCAACGAGCTGTAAACATATCGTAAGATTAGAAATTTTCTTGCCCAAGATTGATACAGTGTTAGACCACGTAGTTACAATATCGGTCGTGATGACGTTCTGAGACTGGTCTGTCAGTTCAAAGTCTCACGTGCCAATATATGTGTATGAAGCACTCAGCCTATACTGGTTACGTTATAACACATTGCATATAGACACGCATTCACGTCAAACAACACACCACGAGGGTTACATTCAAAAACCAAATTACATCAACAACCGCCTATTATTTGTTTACTTTATCAGAGAATACATTCCTTCACAAAACACACGGGTAAAAACTCGTTACCGTCATTTACACGAATCCTCTAACGTTCATCCCTGGAAAAAAATGTCACTGTTCTTCACATTAGTCATGTCAACGTCTTCACACAAAACACGGCACCGTTCCACACAACACTCGTCATCGTTCTTCATACAAAACACGTCAATGTTCTTCATATAAAACACGTCACCATTCTTTGTACAAAACATGTCACTGTTCTTTGTACATAACACGTCACCGTTCTTTCCACAAAACACGTCACCGTTCTTTGTACAAAACACGTCACCGTTCTTCATACAACACTCGTCACCGTTCTTCATACAACACTCGTCACCGTTCTTCATACAACACTCGTCACCGTTCTTCATACAACACTCGTCACCGTTCTTCATACAACACTCGTCACCGTTCTTCATACAACACTCGTCACCGTTCTTCATACAACACTCGTCACCGTTCTTCATACAACACTCGTCACCGTTCTTCATACAACACTCGTCACCGTTCTTCATACAACACTCGTCACCGTTCTTCATACAACACTCGTCACCGTTCTTCATACAACACTCGTCACCGTTCTTCATACAACACTCGTCACCGTTCTTCATACAACACTCGTCACCGTTCTTCATACAACACTCGTCACCGTTCTTCATACAACACTCGTCACCGTTCTTCATACAAAACACGTCAACGTTCAACACAAAACTCTTCACCGTTCTTTGTACAAAACACGTCCCCGTTCTTTGTACAAAACATGTCACCATTCATTGTACAAAACACAAAACCGTTCTTCATGCAAAACACGACAACGTTCCACACAAAACACGTCACCGTTCATACAAAACACGTCACCGTTCTTTGTACAAAACACTACAACGTTCACACAAAAACACGTCACCATTATTTGTACAAAACACGTAACCATTCTTCATGCAAAACACAACACCGTTCTTCATACAAAAATATCACAATTTCCCACGCAAATGCCTTTTCCTTTTCAGCCACCAAAACCCATTATCGTTCTTCACGCGAAACTCTACAATGAGCTTCACAAACACTGTTGAATATAACGGGCTTATTACCAATTTTAAAAGTACACAAATTCCTTAGTGTTACATCGAATTCCTTTCTGGTTTTACTGCTCTTCGAGGAGTATTTCGCTTCTTTCTCGCGTAAGTACGATATAAGCAGGCGTACATATAACCCCAAAACGTTAAGCGGAGTTTGTTCTTTGCTGAACTGGTGTGGTGATGTGACTGTACTTTAGTAGAAGACTGTGACGTATATTTTAGTTTACGGCGCATGTGACTGATCAAGTTGGCTAGACTTTACTTTTGTAGAATTCTGTGACGTATTGTTGTAGAACAACAGACTGACGTGAAACTGAACAAATATCTTGGGAGATCAGACTGCTGTCTGCATGTTGGCGACGTTTTCGGTACACGATAATGGTAGTAGCATAAATAGTGATATTGTATTAGCATAACTGGTAAATATAATCTTCATTCATTTTACCTATTTACCACCTTTAAACCTTATTGGAGGTTAGGCATGGTCTGAATTGATGGTGAAATCACCAAAGCGTGCGATTTACAATGATATTCTAAGGGAGATAGTATGACTGACTGCCCGTTTATTTCTATAATCAGAAAGTGTGTCCGCCTCCTGCTATTTTTTGTTCCTGAATGGAAGTCTGTGACACACCCGGAATGATAGCATGTAACATACCCGGATTCTCACACTTTTTTCGATAAACACACCAGAAGTGTTGACTTAGTACACATGACCTTTGGAAATGCTGTTGAGAGATATCCGTCAAAGTGATTGATGATCATTTATTTTTTCCAGACACTTGTTGGCAGTAAACCATAATTCTTCAACATAATACAATTTTCTCTGCAGTTAGAACAAACTAAATGGCCTTTACATGAGTTATGGTTTTAGGTAGGGCGCGTGTCAGTTTGACCTCGATCAGTCGCGACAACTCTTGCATGTAAATATTACCAGCCTTTATTTTGGTATGTCAGTCGTCTTTATCTTGAACTTTCTAATGCATGTTCTTTTATTTTGCAGATTTGTTTTTTTAATGAAGTGGAAGAGTATTTTAACCGACTATAGATAATGTCAAAAGGATTAACTGTGCACCTCTTTTAGCCGATCTGTTGTTTGTATTCTGTGAAGCTAAAATGACTCGAGCGATGTTAAAGAAAGTAGATACTTTACTGAAAATAGTAAGAACTTTGAAACTTCTTCCTCTAAGATATCCTCTGTTGTTTTAAAAAACAAGTGAATACCGAAATGCAATCCTAACCGTGCTTCGAACTCAACGTCGATGAAACTATGACAGAATTTAATCAGACGAAAGAATAACATGGAAACTATAAATAGTACAGAGAGAATAAGACCAAGAGTTCCGGAAAAGGTAAAGCGCAATATGCTTCATCGGCAACACCCGACTGTTTCATCTAGATCAAATTAAAGTAATTACACATTGTCGAAGAGCGAAATGTACACTAATTAGCATAGTTAAAACCTTCGATGTTCATGACGCAAAAGGAAATAAAACATATTTACCAATTTTGTCATGATGTCTACCATAACACTTGCCTTTATTCTACATCAACATGCATTCCCTGAAACCCTGTGCTGTACGTTTTTCCGTAAGCATTTGGCGCCTGAATTGTAATATGCTCTGTATGACCAGGGATATTGTATCAACTGCAGCATGTTAACATCGTGCTGGGAGCAATGATTACCAACAAGAAAGAGAAGGTTCACAAGGGGAAAATTATAATCGCCACGCTTATAACACTCATTGGTCAGCCGTTCATTTTGGTCAGGTCGCAAGTAAAATGTAAGAGGCTGGTAGAAAAGTGCTAATAGTGTCTTTTTTCAAGTCCTAGAGAGTATATCTATCTGATTGACGTGCTTCATATATATTTCATTTTAAAGACAGCACATCGTTAATATATCTGAAAGAGAATTCCGAGATTTACATGACGGGTGTCGTCGACTAAGCAGACAAAGAGTACCCTTCCAGAACACCTGGTCTATTATCTTTGTATTTTGTCATGGGTCTCCTTGTAAATCTTTGCGTTGTTCATTTTTGAAATAGTTTTACCGATTCCGAGTTTGAACTAGGGTTTTGTTGACACTTCGGTTTTCTATAGATATTTTTTGGAGAAATGTCATTGCTATACTATTCAGATATGATGTGGTAAAGACTGTAATTCAGACTGAAATTTTGACATTTGCCAACGGTCATTCAGGTCACCTCAACGTGACATAAAAAGACATTTTAATGGTGTCGGATTCACATCAATATTTATAAACTGTAGTCAGTATAGTCATTCGATAATAAACTGAATCCAATTCCCGCCATAAAACATCTCCTAAAAACTGGTTTAAATTTAGCGGCATATTATCCCCATGCAAGTAAAGTATCTAAACCACGTTCACTGCCACGGACGGAAACATGCATTATCTTGTTGAAATATACTTGTGTATGTAAGGGTCACAACATGCCGTGGTCCGTCTTCAGACAAACGGTACTGAGGCATGTTGGGAGTACAGTTTTGTATATATCTAACTCAGACCAGTCTATTGTAACCCACACAGTGTAATCATACAAACAGTTATGATGTATGTATCAACCATTGCAATATATTCAAAAAAGGTCAGCCGTTCCATAACTCAGTTCCCCATAATCACCGGCAGCATGCGAACTGGCCATGATGAATGGCGGCTCTGTACACTCAGCTGTATCTATATGCTGAGGAAGTTATTGTTCCCAGCCAATATCACCCAAGTCAGGCAATCCACCGTGCTCGAGCGGAAACTAAAATTTATGTGCTAAATATTCATGCCGGAGCTTTCCTGTTCACCGACTACAATCTTAGCGGTAACCTTTTGGGAGGCTTAATGACCTATTTGTCAAGCGTTGGCAAGGCTTCAGCGCAAAGCCACGGCGCTGCCACACAACGGCAATTTGGTTGTAGAAACATGCAATTGTCAAAATGGCTAAATGGAGTATGTATTACTGTATGTTACTGAACAACAAACTTCCGGCTACAGAAAGGTCAAAGGTTGATACATAAAACGCAATGTAAATATCTCATCTCCTTTTATACAGCAAGCGTCGTTAGAGATTTTGTTTTAAGCTATTTATGCAAGGCGTTTTTTCCCATAAATCGAATCCACCATGATGTATGGGAGTTTTGCATGAAATGTTTTGCAGTGATTTATTAAAGGGAATTATTAGTGAAGTATGATGATAAGTGCTCGGTGTGTGACACTGTCGCCCTGTGTGTGCCTGTCGGGCGACTTTGTGATCGGGTTTATATGAAGGTAATTGTCGGTCGTTACTAGTTACGTACTTCCGGTAGACAACGGAAGTAGCAACAATTGGTCTGAATACCCTATTGGGGCACTACTTGCGCACTATTAAATGTTAATGTTAATTTTGATCAGATATTCTATTTCTATTGGAACAACGTGTCCAGTGTTTTGAACTGGCACTGCAGAATAATAGACATGGTCCAATAGTGTTTCACTTTCCGGATTGGTACAAGGTACCAACTTATAGTTCCTTGTACAGGACTTGAGTCAGTAATGGGATAACGCTGTATGTTTCTGGTGCAGAGCAGACATTCCCATTATTGTATAAGTAGCGCCTTCCTCAAACATCGCCGTACGATTGTCGCCAGGGACCCCCGACTAAGCAGTCCATATGCCGTTTGTGCCAATGCTAATCATAGGGAAAAGCACGAAGACGTCCGCATTATCATCTCAGATACACATCTCTTGACCATCTCACAGTGACAACTGACCACTAGTAAGGTCAAGGTCAGTCGTGCTTGGTCAGCTTCATGTTCAGATACAACTGTTTTTGTAAAAAATACATGTAAATTAGATGTTTCATGAGCAAATTAATATCTTTCATTTTTTTAAATGTAACGGATCTGTATATTTTACAAAGAAAATCTTGATTATCTCGCGTGTAATAAGTTTTATTAACATTGGTTAAGTGGTCTACGCTTTGTAGAAGATAAAACATGCATAATTGTTGAGATAGGTGTTCTTACTGATAGCCATTGGTCGAACGCATCTTAACACTGATATGTAAATATAGACAGCAGATGCAAAAGTTCACATGCCAACGTTCTGCCAAACAGACAACGTCCAGTCTGACATGGAACATGGTATCGCCGACATACATGTAGGGTAATCTAATCATGGTCAACGGATCGATCCGGCAACTGGCGGGTCACGTCAGGATACTCACTACGGACACTGCGGCCACAGATGACCGGAGATGACCGGCGATACGGACTGATGAGAGTCTGAGATAGATCGATGATCATGATGCTGACCCGACATTTGTTGCCTGTAACAATGTTAATATAAACCCGACATGCATTGTCCGTCCACCAATCCGATTACAGGCTATTTAGCGCGCCTCGTACGGCTCTCCCGGTATAACCCTTTGAGATGTATCAGGACGAGCTTACTACCGTACAAAGGAGCATCCGATTGACCAACAAACGGCGTTCATACATACTTGTTTGTTTATCTAGCGTTACCATCCTTATTCTTTAAACCTTTTTTTTTAAGCTTTGTTTTTAGTCTTATAAATCTTTCTTGCAACTGTGTACTAAATATGGAAATAATTTTATTT